TTTTAGTGGCCATTATCTCTGTCAAAAAGACAGCTATCAAAAAGATCCGGATGGTGATAGTTAGTTTAAAGACAGGCCTACAAAGTTATCATAGTGATCTTCTAAAACTATCCTTTGCTGCCGTTCAGAAATGACAGTCCGAAGATTGAGAATTTTGGCCGATCATTGGTATTGTCGGACACCACGCTTTGAGAGCTTATAACTTTCTATGCACTCTTGCTAGAGCTACAAGTTTTGTCACGCAAATAAAGGATAACTATTGCTATAATACTTTGCAGTTTCATGAGATGGCAATGTATAGTTTTCCTAAAACAAGTGTCCGAAAATTGATGGTGTACGATCATTGATAATGTACTCTATCTTTTCTCCATTTCTCTTTGTGTTTAGGAATGTAATAGGCTATTATTAACCAACGATTTGTCTGTGTTTGTTCCTACTACCTACCATACAATTGGTGCAGCTTTTGTGTGCCTTATTGCCAGAATTCTAATGACATTGTAAGTATCATTGCTTTAAAAATTTACTGCTTCTCTCATTATAGGTGTAAGTTCCACAAAGAAAATGGAAGTGCTCAAAGAGTATAAACTCTGTCCCAATGACTGTTAAAACTTTTGTAATGTTGTTATTATTGTAATAAAGTGTATAATTAACATGGTTAAAAGTGGGTATGTGCCACCAAAGCTAGTGACTTCAAGCCACCATTGGCAGTGAGCTATATGACTACCTCAATATATGCTTTACTTGGTGGGTAAAACCCACCTTTGTTTTTGCAGTGTAGTGGTGGTACCAATGGAGTCCTCTGGTCAAGATAAGGTCCTCCAAAAAGTCTGGTAAGGATAGGAGCTAGTTTTCCTGATATAGCAAGGCTGCAAAAGTTGTTGGAGCCATATTGTTTGGGGTGAATCCTACTTAGTAACACTACTGCATTAATAATACATGTACATGTAGTTTAGGGACATTGGCCTGATTTTTTAACCACTTTAAAAATTCATAAAAAAGTCTAATTTTGATCGAAATAAACCTAGAAGCATTCCAATAAATGCACATATAGTACTAAGCTAGCTTTTCTATACATTTTATAGCTTTATCACTTGTACTTAGGAATCTCTATAGCAATTAAATTTATGTAGCTAAAATTAAAATTTGCAACCATTAAGTCAAGGTTATACAGCAAGGTGGAGGTACATGTACATGTACATTGTACCTATGGGATTTATTATGAGTTTAGAAACAAACCAGTTTACTTGTGGACAAGTTCAATGAGGTTTCAAACTGACTTACTGTATCTAAACCACCTCAGGTACAGTAGGTGGTTTGAGATAATCAAACCCATTTAAGTACTAAAGCGGCTGTATTATGCACTGTAGCATTATAAACTGAATTTACCACAGTTATGTGTTGAATAAAGCTGGTTTTGGAATCTCTGTAATGTAAACTGGTTTGTGTACATGTAGTTGCTGTCACAAGTTGTATAACCAAATTCTAAATGTACTGAAGTTCACTTAATAGCAAGAGTTAGCAACAGCCTGTTAATAGGTAAATTCACAGAGCTACTTAAAATGTATTAACCTTCTTGGCCACTAATTAACCCCCAACTACCAAGGAGTTTACTTATACACTAGTGGTAAACAAGTTACATGTATTGTCAGTTTCAGTTGAGAAGAAACCACCAACACCCCTCATAACTTTATTGTTACAAATGCGAGTAACTTGAAATTTTGTATAGCTGCATAATGGGTTCTTGCAAAAATTCCTACCAATTTTTGAGTTTCTAGGTACTCTGGAAGGTTTTTACAGATTCTTCCACTTGAGATGAAATGGAGCCACCACGACACATGTGTGCGTCACTCCAATGATTATCATTTCCATCTCATTATATTTTGTCAAAAATAATGTTCATTTTATTTTTAAAAAATAAAACAAAGGATAGAGTTCTCTAGATCTAATAATATTCCACTAGGAGCCCTTTCCTGAAGAAAAATCTGTAATATCACTCCATAATCTTCTGGATCATCGTTGTTCTTTATTGTCTATACACTCATTGATTTATCCGTATTTCGAGCTCCATACCAGCTAAAAACAGGCACCAAAACCAAGGAAAGGATAAATGAAGGTAACAACAATCACGATAGAGGTATAATAGATAATACAGTAAGTTAAAGAAGAAACACTCGAACAATGACAGAGCTAGCACATTGCAGCTATACTTGGGCGGGGCTACACATGACGTTTTATTGACAAAGACATTGATATACTTCCGTTTCTTTTCAACTGAAACTGACTATACATATTAATGAACCTAAAATCAAGCAAACTATTACCACTACACATGGTAGAATGATGGTTAGAAACTGTCACTGTATAATAGATACATGTGTAATTATAATTTTACCATTATATTGTCTCCCTTTATTGTAGTTGTTGAAATAATTCTTAAACTCCTCATAATTAATACTGTAACTCTCATCAACTGGTGGTTCATTAGTCTAACATTGAACGGAAAATAAATAAATAAATTATACATAAATATAAATAAATACATGTATCATCTATCCTTAAATAAAAGCCGGATATGAATAAACACCGGGGTAGCAATGCAATTGGAGTATGAGTACACAAATCTAGCCCTCAAATAATTAGAATTCTTGTGGATACTTCCTTAGGCTATTGATGTCAAATGCATGAGGTCACTGGTTCGAATTGCACTCTGGGCCAAAGTTTTATTTTATTTTAAAATTTTTTTCAATGTTCAAATACCATTTTAGGAAATAGACGGCCGGGCTTTTATTTAAGAAAATATGGTAAATAACTGACTTTATTCATTTCTTTTAATTTCTTTAAAACTTTAGCAGCTGCAACATTCTGGGCAATCTTAACTGAATGAGCAATAGCCACCTCACGTATATTCTTATCATCAATTTCAATAACATAACAACAACCTCTATACCTAAACAAAATAAAACAAGCGTAACAGTGTAAAAATGTTCATGTAATTGTTTTCACCACCTTCCATGCATGGTTCGACTCACTACGTAAGCGAGTATTAAACACTTGGGTTGTCCTGCATATCGTAATGAGCTTTTTGAAAACTTTTTAAATTAAAAAACTAAGTCTTCTAGACTCATAGATCTTTCTCTATAGCTAGTCCAAGCCTTCATTTATCAGGTAAAAATGTTTAAAGAGCAGCGCTAGAGATAAGAAGCTTGATAAGTAAGGGAGACAAAATAATAAAGCGATGGCGCTGACACTTTAAGATAGACAAAACCATTTTCCAGTAGATTACTACCTTCTATTTCATTCATACGTGTAGAATTTCTTAATTCTTACTTGGTAGAGACTTATGCTACAAACTTCATCCTTGCTATCCGACTTTGTGAAGGGTTGAGGCAGAAATTGGTAGGCTAGCTGTGCTAGACTCTCTTAACTCTTTTAAATATATATAGGCAGCAGTATTGTGCCATATAACTTATTATGAGCCACTCATAAGAAGAAAAAAACTTAAGCTTCTTCAGTCACATGTCATGCTAAGGCCATTTCATTGGCAATGAAGCCACACCTCTATTAATACTTGGCAATTATTTTCACATGCAATCTTAGCTGCTTGCATTTCTTAATGCACAGCTGCAATGCCGCTGTGTGCTAAATAAGAAATTTATTTACACATGCGTGAGCATTGATTATTATAAAATGGATGCCATGTAGCTTCCTTTCTGTGTTTAGAGTTGCTTTATAAGAAAACTGACAACTCTCAAAGATCTCAGGGTTAAGTTATAAAGTCTAAGGATCCTGTAATATTCCTCATTGTACGTTAGAACTTTCATTTGTAAGTGTAATTCATTGTTTTGAGGGAGAGATGTGTAAAGCAGTAACATTTTCATCTGTTTGTTTTAAATTTTTTGTGTATTTAAACCCTTAAGAACACAGTGACTTTGGTTGTTATTGCTTTCTCCAATAAATTTTCTTAGTGTTTAAAATGGTTTAGGTCCTTTGCATGTAATGCTATAGATCTGTGACAAAGCCAAATACAAATTAAAATAACACCAGATATTATAAACCATAAAAACAGAGTTAAACAATGATGTAACCATCTGTTGTGAGTATAGCAAACTAGTCTGTTTCTGTTACTACTTCAGTTTCAAGATCCTCTACATCACTAGTGTCTTCTTCATTACTCTCTAATTTATCACTCTCTAATTCAGTCTCAGAAATCGTGTCGGTCTCATTATCGTCGCAACTGTTGACTGGGTGTTGTACAGGTAGATTTTCACAATCCTGAGATTCACATCCAAGACCACAGCTTGTTTGCTTTTTCCTAGAGCCGCATCTCACACCACACTATGTTTTACATTTGCAGTAATGTGCTAATACTATTCTCTATTTCAGACTTAACCTTTTTATCCTCCCAGTCAATGGACTAAAATCCCTCTTCCGATAGCAACCAACCATTAAGGTGAGGATTTGGTAAATTTCTATATATCTCATCCGTGTGTGAATGTGCCCACATAGAGTAAATGATAGATTATCAGATTATCGGACAGCAGGTATAGTCGGATGCTTGTTTCATCTTTTGTCACTGTCAAAACAACTTTTAATTATTATGATAAGATAGTCCTATGATAACGAAGGTAGCATACCATGACAGCAGTCCAGCTCTCTTGCTTCAAGTTTTTTAATAATTTTTTTCCCTCCATTTTCAGCCAACAGGTATGATCGGATGAAACTCTCTACCACCAGACAAGCGTAAAAACCTAGGCTAAAGTAGTTTTGTCCTCATAATAACAGTAAAGGCAATAGTCCTGCACCTCTAGAGTCCCTGATAGAGGGAATGCAGTAGCTCTGTGGTCCTTGGATATCCTTGTGACCATCATTTTGCTTAGGGCAATTAATTTCATGCATGCACAAAACAGAGGGTATTAAACTTCGTTGGGATAAGAGAAAGAGAAGAGTTGAAGGTTGATTATTGAAGAGGTAAGAGCCATGATGCAATTTATGGTTTAAAATGGTAAATAACATCATATAAAGAGGGCCTGGGTGATTATTGGCCACGAGATGAAAGGTACTGTCTATTTGTCACTTACAGTTGTCACAATGATTCTGGCATAGCTTAGACTATATAAAATTAGCACTAGTTTTGATTAAAATCCATAGTATACAGTTATTGAATTTATGTAGATCTAGGCCTATAATAAAAAATATTATGCAGAGTTTTTAGTTTTGAATTTTTTAAAAAGAACCCCAGCCACACCCGAATGTGCAATAATTAATTTGTTTGTTAGATTATATTATGTTATTATCTTTATAGGCTTATGGCTGCATACATACCTGCATTGAAGGATAGGGTACTGTGTGCAACACGCAGTCATCAAAGACAACAGCCGACATTAAATTATCATCCCAGTGCATATAAGCATTGGTCAAGTGATGCGATGGACAAGGCCTTAGATGCTGTATTGAATAAAGGCTGGAGTATTCGACATGCTGCAGAATCTTACAGTGTTCCTCGCTCAACTCTGGAAGATCGAGTAAGTGGACGCACTATATATCATGCTAAAAGTGGGCCAAAAAAGATTCTAACTGATGAGGAGGAAGAAGTCCTTGTTAACTTTTTGATTGGTTGCGCAACTGTTGGATATACAAAGACTCGTGCAGAAGTCATGACCATGATCAATCAGCTAAATAAATCAAGAGGACTTGTTGGAACTGTAAGCAGTGGCTGGTGGGAAGGTTTTTGAAAGCACCACCCTTGTTTAACATCAAGAATAGCACCATGCGTGTCACAACAGAGGCATATCTCTTCTCATAGGCCTACTGTGCTAAATCAGTACTTTGATGTCTTAAGAGGAAACGCTGACTAAGTATGACCTAATGAAGAAGCCAAACTGCATCTTTAATATGGATGAAACAGGGGTGGCAATGGAGCCTGATCAGCCAAAAGGAATTTTTTTGAAAGGAGAAAGAAGGCCAATGATGTTATTGTCAGGATTGAAAGGCCAGTTTACTGTTGCAGGATGTGTTAGTGCAGCTGGTTTTTGTCTACCACCATTTGTTATCATAGACCGGAAAAGGTTTAATCCTGCATTTGCAGAGGGAGAGGTACCAGGTAGAGCATATGGTTTGTCACATAATGGATGGATGGATCAGGAATTGTTTCATCTATGGCTTAAGGATCATTTTCTCAAGTATATACCTACTACAAGACCTGTTATTTTGCTTATGGATGGACACAGATCACATTACAATCCAGAAACAATTCGATTTGCTTCAAAGAATGGAGCAGTTTTATTTACTTTACCACCCAATACAACTCACATGTCACAGCCTCTTGATCGAAGCTGTTTTGGTCCTTTGAAAACTGCATGGCGGGAGGTTTGTCATAGATTCATGTGCAACAGTGATCAAACTGTAAGCAGATTTTCATTTTCTCATTTGCTTCATGAAGCATGGGATATTGCTATGACGAGGAAGAATATCATGAATGGCTTCAAAGTAACTGGTATCTTTCCCTTTGATCGAAAAGCTCTTGTCCCTGAGCCTGAAGATGATACATCACCCTACTCACCACTGTTAACTCCTCCTCGTCATACTAACAGATGAGTTATTGTTGATGATGTCACCTTAGATAATAGTCACTTTAGTAATGATATCAGTGACTCATCATTTGAGAGCTCTCTTACATTATTACCTAGAAGATCTAGTTTTTTCAGAAATGCTACGTTATCCCTCTCCTATTCCAGTACCAAAGAGTAATCCTCAATCAAAGGAATCCAGAGTATTAACAAGTGATGAAAATTTGAAGAGGATAGAAGAGAAAGAAAGAGAAAGAGAAGAAATCGCAAAAGAAAAGGTTAGGAAGAAGGAGTTAAGATAACAGAAAAAATAGATAAAGCAAATAATAAGAAAAAGAGATTTATAAATGACAAAAGTGATAATAAAGCAGGTATGTACTTTATTTGATTGTTTAATATTTATGATCCTATACAGATCCTGTAACAGGTGATGAGTTTTCAGCGGAAGAAATCCAGCTATTTAGAAAACGATTTGAGAATGGTTATAACTTAGAACATGATGCTCGTTACAATGAATGGAAGAAAAAGGTTGCCATGCAGCATGATTCCTTGGAGCAATCTAGCGATGAATCAACATATGAAGATTGGATGTTCACTCGAACTACTGCTGAAAAGACTCCTGGTATGTTTTGAAACATATATTATATAGATCATTAATTATCTTATAGATACCCTCACTCAACCTAGATGTACACTTAAAAAGACTACTTTAGGCAATGATGGTAGGTTTGAAAGTATAATTTATTAATTATCTATTTTACACATGCAGTTATTGATTCTTGGCATAGAGGAACTTTTAAGAAGTCTGCTAGTAATGATGGCATAATAATGAGAAGGCAGAGTGTACTGTGTGTCATGGCTATTATGCAGTCACTTCTTCTGGTGCAATTCGCCTTCATGGACCACAATCTGATTGGTGCCCTGGTCCTCGGCAGCCAGTTGGGGTAGAATCAGATATGTATAATTCATCTGTCACTCATTCTCTTCCAAGTTCTCCTTCTCCTCACCAGCCACATAGTGTAGACCTAAAGAACACCTCATCCACTGTCCCCATTGTTAAGCAATTACCCAACACTGCTACTAATAACGGTATTTTAAGAATTTAAGTAATAATTTTTATCTATTTAGACAGATATTATTAAGCCTAGATCTATACGTACTCTCAATAAGACTGCTACTAGTACTAATGGTAATTTTAAAATTTAAATCATCAATTATTTATTTATTTACACAGATAGTACTCAGCCTAAGCTCACTCTTAGACATAATGCTACTAATGATGATACTCATAAGAAGACTGCTGCTATTGATGGTAACTTTTATTTAATTAATAAATTTATTTAAAGCTACACAGATATAACTTAGCCTAGACATACTCTGAAAAAGACCGCTACTTAAGGAGACTGCTACTAATAATGGTACTTTAAAATTTAAATCATTAGATTGTTTATTTATTTACACAGATATCACTCAGCCTAGACGTAGGACTGTTACTGACTCTCTTAAGAAGACTGCTGCTATTGATGGTAACTTTTAGAATTTAAATCATTAGATTATTGTATTTATTTACACAGATATTACTCATCCCAGATGTGCTTTAAGGACTGCTACTGATTCTTTGAAGAAGACTGCTGCTAATGATGGTAACTTTTAGAATTTAAATCATTAGATTATTTTATTTATTTACACAGATATTACTCAGCCTAAGTGTACTCTAAAGCCTGTTACTTCTCTTAAAAAGACTGCTACTAATAATGGTAATTTTAAAAGTTAAATCATTAGATTATTGATTTATTTACATAGATATTACTCAGCCTAGACGTACTTTTAGAAAGACTGCTAGTCAGCCTAGACACAATTTCAAGAAAACTGCTACTAATAATGATGATTTTTAAAACTGCAATATAAAACTTTTATGTAAACAAGAGGTCATTTTCAAGACACAGAAGCTGACATAAATAAAAGTAACAATTTGAGATTGATACTTAGCATAAATGTTCTCCATATAGATCTAAAATGCACTCTAAAGAAGTGCAAGCACCCCTATGCACAAAATTGGATTCAATGCAGTGTTTGTGAAGCTTGGCATCATTGTATTTGTATGGAAACTACTCTAAGGAAGGCAGAACAAATAACTTTTACTTGTTGTCAATAAAACTATTATTGGTTAATTAACTATAACTTTGATAGAGGAAAGATGGCTGACGAGAACAGTCAACACTAGAATTGTTTCTAAAAATTCTTGCTTCCTTTACCGAGCTTTTTTTACAATGCTACATCTTTTAAAATAATCTGAGATTCAATTTAAAAGGGTAAAAGTTCAGAAAAGCTCATTTTTTTGCTTGTCCGGTGGTAGAGAGTTTCATCTGATCATACCTGTTGGCCGAAAATGGAGGGAAAACATTATTAAAAAACTTGAAGCAAGAGAGCTGGACTGCTGTCATGGTATGCTACCTTAAGGTGGGTTCAGAATATTTGCGTTGTGACCAGAAGTGCTGTATAAAGCAATGAGCAAACGCAAGTATAGAACTCTGCTCTATTCTTGCGTTTATCATTGCGTTATATGGCACTTCCGGTCGCAAAGCAAATATTGTGAACCCAGCTTAAGTTATCATAGGACTATCTTATCATAATAATTAAAAGTTGTTTTGACAGTGACAAAGATGAAACAAGCATCCGACTATACCTGTCGTCCGATAATCGATCATTTATTGTAGTTGAAATCTAGTAAGACCTCATCCAGTGTCTCCATAACGATGTACATGACCATACTCCTTCTTCTTCACATAGTATTCGGTCGCTAACAACTTCTCTGATTCATTCAAACCATAGTTTGTGTCTTGCATGTGGATCAAGAGTCTGATCAATGAATTGAAAGACTGATATGGCGTTTCATGCCCATACACACAAAGATGGTAAGTGCTTTTAAAGTACACTGTACCTACCAATCTAAGAAAAGTGAAGAAGCCATTTGATCTAACAGTAGCTGTTGTCTCATACAATGAACCAACATTTCCACTACACATGAAACACGCATGCTGAAAATAGTAATTGAAGAATGTAGCCTTTCCAACCATTAAAAAAACATATAGTCACAACCAGTACAGATAAATAAGGTTTGGAAGATGTTGACAGGGCATGTTTTTGGAACAGATGCTAAGTCTGGGTCATTTATGCGAGCATGATTCAATAGCACTGTAAGCACTTATTTTGACAATGTAGTGCTTAGAATTGAATTACATAGTTTAATCCTATATTGTAAATATCGGTATCAGGGGAGCAAATAAGAATTTTTCCTGCAGTCCTTTGTGTGGTATGTCTCCAAATTCTACAGTCCCCTTCTGCACTATTTGTTCTATAGTGCTGTAGGCAGTTCAATACTGGTTTTTTCTCTAGGGCTGAAACGACTAGTGAGATATTCGAATATTCGGTCGTTATAGCAATATTCAAATAGTTTTTAGCTATTTAAACTATTCGAATAATAAAATTATTAATGGTTATTGCAATAATTAACGGCCACGCCCACCACATGTCACCTGCACAGGGAGCTTTCTTAGTCTGTTTTTTGGTCTGTTTACTTACTAACTTGCTAAATACTGATGCTGCCACTAGGGAAAGTGGTTCTCAATCTCTAAGAAGCCCTGTTTGGCATCATTTGACAAGTTTAACACCAAAAAGGTAGATGATCATTCAGCAATAACAGTTCAATTATTCGAATATTTGTTTGTTTAGCATGCCAATTATTCAAATAGTGAAAAATACTATTTGCTTCAGCCCTAGTTATCTCCACCAATGATTTAAATAGCATCATCTTCACCATCACCAGAGAAACATCCAGCTAGTACAAGTATTTGAAATGTTCTAAGTAAAAACCTTCCTGACTAAACTAGAGATAATCCCAGTGCTTCAATCAATGCTCTTTTCACTTTCGACAATCAATATAATCTGACCAAACCTGTGGTAGATTGGTGTGAGGTGTAACAGGGACACATATGTGCTTTGAAGACTGTTTACTTGTATCACGATGGCTTTGCTCAAACTGTTTTGGGTTAAAGCTTTCTTGCCCTGGTTTGTCAAATAAAAGTTGTACCTCTCTTGCCCCAGCTTTAAAGTGTTCAAGTTTTGAAAATAAACTTAGCATATTCCTTAACTGTTCTGGTATTCCTTAGGGGTTTCTGTTAATCAGAAACATAGCATCAATAATGCATATGTAGTGTATTTTGAGTATTATTATTATTATTGTTGTTGTTATTATTAGTGTTATTATTCATACTCATTCTTAATATTATTCTATAGTGTTTTGATTCTGTGGTTTACAACATTCCTCTCCTATCTAATTAAATTCCTGTTGTGTTGCCTATTTAAGTTGTGTAAACGTCTCTGTTCTTGTCTTTTCATTAATCAAAATAATTATTGTTATTTCTCTCTGTTAAATAATACTTGGAGACATCATAGTGGTGACGAGGTGGGGATGGCAGCTCCAACAAAGTATGGCATGTTGGCTGAGTATCAGCCCGATGTCAAGTCCATCGAAGTTTATGAAGATAGAGTAAAGGTCTTCTTAGTTGCTAATCAGATACCTGAAGAATGACAATTTGCTGTGTTATTGAGTATAATAGGAGCTCCTCACTTCTCACTAATATCCAGCTTGTTGGCACCTGAAAAACTATCAGACAAAACTGTCGATGAGCTACTTGACGTATTGAAGGCACATTTCTCGAAGAAGCGTGTCACCATAGCAGAGAGATACAGATTCTACTCGCAAGTTCAAAGTCCAGGGGAGACTGCAATTCAGTTTGGTGCTGAGCTTCGCTAGCTAGCTGTCCATTGCAAATTTGAGGGATTTCTCGACCAGGCACTCCGAGACTGCTTCGTGTGTGGTCTGCGAGATACTGTGGCTCAGAGAAAACTCCTGTCTGGGGAGGATCAACCTGAACAGCTCTCATGGCTGCCGTAGAGTTACACTAGAGACAGTTGCAACTGGAGTCAAGGACCTTGGACGAGAGAATGTTTATTATAATCAGCAGTCAGAGCAGAAGTGTTATCGCTGTGGCCATGATGGTCACCGTTCTGTTGAGTGTCAATTTAGGGGAGACATTTTTCGAAAGTGCGGGAAGAAAGGGCATCTTCAGGCTGTTTGCAGAAGCCAAGAGAGTAACAACGCGGCCCCACTTGAGCACAGAAGGAAGACCACTCCGAAGGCTCCAGTAAGGAAGGTAGATGAGCCAGAAGACGAGAGCTCTGCTAATGGTGATGAGGATGAGGAGGTTCCTGGATGTTTTAAAGTGAAGGTGAACTCTGTTAAGGCTACACCACCACCAATCAAGGTTTCTGTAAAATTATACGGCAAGCTGATAGAGATGGAAGTGGATACTGGTGCAGCTGTGTCTATCATTTCGGAACGTACCTATCGTAAATGGTTGAAAGATACACCCCTCTGTCCTGCTGAGATACAGCTGCAAACATATACATCAAGCCACTGACTACACTAGGAAGATGCCATGTCACCCTTCAGTATGGGAATCAGAGAGCTCAAGGAACTGTGTATGTAGTATCAGGAGAGGGACCATCCTTACTGGGACAAGATGTTCTCCAGAAGATTAAATTAAACTGGTCTAAAATTATGAGGCAAGTTCATAATATTGCTGGAGGAGAGCCTCAGCAGTTGGGAACATTACTAAAAGGTATGAGGCAGTATACAAGACA